TACCTGCGAATGATAACATTTCATTCTTCTTCATGGCTACATAAAACTTTTGATAAAACATTCATCTCTAGTTGTCTCCCCACCCATGAGTGCTGATACACGATACACCACATTACAAAGTAGACTCGAAGATGAAAATGTTAGGCTTATGCTTGTGAAAGTCACCCACCTCTTCCAACTGTTCCAACCTTTCTGCATGCAGGTTTTGGAGTAGTTAAAATAAAATAAATTGAGTTTTAAAATGTTTCATTATATGTTAGAGTTGGGAACAAAGCTGAGTTATTTCCTGCGGATAATTCTTTTAAAACTTCAATTATGTATAAATGAGTTTTTTGTGTTTAAAGTCTAATGTAATAGTACCCTAGACCAATTGCTTTAGCTGATTTTGAAAACTATTGACAAATGCTTAATACTATTAGCCATATCCTTTATTTTAACTATCCTAGGGTATTAGCGAACAGACTCATATATTATAATCCAATTAAAACACAAGTGATTTTACTGAGAACTTTTTTTTTTGTTGGTGGTACTGGGGGTTTGAACTCAAGGCCTCACACTTGCAAGGCAGGCACTCTACCACTTGAGCCACTTCACCAGACCCTGAGAACATATTTGGCCATCAGATTGTTATGTATTCATGGTAAGTCATAAGTCACATTTAACACCCACTCCCTTCAGCTCTTAAACTCAATTTACATACAAATCTGTTCCCTAACTCTTGTACTTTTCTTCCACTCCTCCACCACCAGGGGCTCCTTGGTATAATCTGTTATTATTTGTCTGGATTACTGCCATGGCTTCTGCATTGATCTACTGTATCCATTCATGATTCCCTTAAATTCATAGTCACAATGTAAAGAGATTAGTGCTTCGAAATCTGATTAAACATCCACCTTTTTAAGCCTGCTAATGTTTTCCATTGCTTTAACAATAAAGACAATACCACTAAGGTGACCTATGTAGAACCCCACGAGCAGCCTCTGCTAACCTCTCCAGTTATACTTTATTTCATGTTATATTCTCTTCTGTTCTCCCTACACAGGTCGAAGTGGTCCTCTTTTGGCTGGTGGACACATTGTGCCTCCATCCTACATAAAACTTTTGTACATTTTGTCCCCTCCATCTAGAATTCCTTCCTCCTCTCTGAATCTAGTCGCTCCCACCCACCTTTCGCTGTTCAATTGATACTCCACAAAGTCTTCTGTAACCCCCCAGATGAGGTCAAACCTGAATTCTACAGCACGATTTACATCTATAGTTCTGTATTTATGACAGTTGCAATTTTACACTGCTTTGTTTGTCCGTTTGATTACTGGGGAGGTCAGGAGTAATGTCTGCTTCAGTTTCTTATGTGGAACTTCCAGTGCCCAGACCAGTGCTTGGTGTACATCAGGAGTTAAGGAATACATGTGCGATGTGGGAGTGAATATAGCACATGGACATTTATAATATAAGTTAAAGTCATTGAAAGGCGTGACAGTGTTTATTTCAGTTTTCAATTGTGTAATAACTAACAGAACAGGTCTTGTTTGCATTTGAGCAGGCATATGCTATTTCTTCAAGTTAGAATCCCTAAGACCATGTATTATCCATAAAACCTTGCTTCTATGGCTTACAATCTTAAGTGATAACTTCTTTTTTTTTTTTTACAAATCTCCTCAATTGTGGGAGCAATTAGCCAACATGTTCCCCTATTAGTTATCAAAGTTTTCTGCTCAATTTAGATTGGTAAATCCCTTTTGCAAAGATCGTGGTCCATTTTTTTCTGTTTCCTAATAGCCTTCAACCACAGCAGAATTTAAAAGCAAGACTTAAAGAGTTTTAAAATAAAATAGGAACAAAGCTCATGGGTGTTTTCTGATTTTCGTGGTGTGTGTGCTGAAATCACTGCTAAATGATCCTTCTGAAAGTCAAGTGGTCAGTAATTGTGTGACATCATACATCTTAGAATAATTCTTGGAATAAGGCTAAGACATTTCACATCAATTCTGCATAATGAGAAACTGTGTGTAGATAGTTTTAATCAGTACATGACTATTTGAAAATTACTGCAGGGAACAAGAATGACAACCCTCCATCACACGTCTTTCAAATCTCACTGTTAACCTCAAGCCCTCTTATCTTAATCAGGGTTTGGGAACAAGGATTCATAGAACCATTTCATGAAAAGATAGACTGTGCATTTGTATAAATGCAACTACTGTATTGCAATTAAGCAATAAACACACTGCTGCTTTGTACCACCAGCAAAGTAAATAAAACGCCTCCCTGCTGCTCACAGTGTGGAGATGATTCTCCTGCAGAAACAGCCCTCATTTACCATTTAGAGATCTAAACTGAAAGCCCACTTACTGATGAATGTCATTAATAATATGTTAAAATTACATTGTGAATTAGGCCAACAACAATTCAACATGCAGGGCAGAAGTAAATAATTCGATTCCTCTAAATGTGGTCCTTGTACGACTTGCATCAGAATAACTTTTTGTGCCATTCTTATCTCATCCCTAAATTTCCCCTTCTTTCTCCCTACACTTTAAACCTACTCTTGGGGGCTAGAGCATAAATGTCAGCATTTTAAACAACCTCCCATCCCCCCATCATTTTTATGCTTGATAAAGTTTCAGAACCACAAAGTGATTTTTAGAGGCTGAGAGGGTTGAAAGCTTTATTTGTATTTCTAGGTTTTCTTCTGCCAGGGGGCAGTGTTCTCTGAAATATGGCTGGGTTAATAAACCAGCATTGGCTGGTTGTTAATTTTTCAGTCTTACACCCTTTCTTGTTTACTGAGTCTGCCATGTGTGATTTCCTCCCAAACTCCTAAACACTGTAACAGGTGAACTTTCTTAATTTGGTTTTCCTGTAAAAGATTTTGGACTGTGTTCTAGTCATATTAGTTGAATTTCTTGGTGTACTTTTTGCATTATCATGTTTATTGGTGTTGTCAGTTTCAGATAATGTAGTGTTTTGTAGTTGATTTGATGCCTGCAATAGGGACTTGGGCTATCCTTCTGACAGTTAATTTTTTTCTTCTGACAGTTAATTTTTAACTATAATCTTATAGTAAAATTCTGTATAACTATGGATAGATGCTGATGGTGATGGTGATGATGATGATGTGTTAATAAATTCCTGACACACAATGACCTGGTCGAAGATAAATTTCTTTGGCAGCATAGCCGAAGATTTTGATCCTTTTGAATAATGGGTAACAAGGCTGTCCAGAAACTAATTATATATCAACTTGGCTATTAAACTAGTCAGCTTTTTACTGTACAGCTAGTCTGCATGTTAATAATAAAATAAAATAAAATAAAGGGTGACATTCAATTTCTGAGATTTATTTTTCTCCTCGAGGACAGACTTCATTGTCCTCAATGGTTTCTGCAATCCAGTGTTAGACAAAGTGTAAAGTTGTGCTCTGGCATGGCCTGGGAAGGCTGGAGAGAAGAGGAGGCTGCGATTTTAGAACATTTGCAGAATATAAAGAACTAACAATATGGCCTGGATGTTTTCCATTTTGCTTTACAGTTTTCCCCTAAAACTTGCATCTTTCAACTTAATGTACATAGTAGAACAATCTTACATGGAATTAACATCTGTAAGCCCTGCTAAATTCTCAACTACAAGTCAGTTTAGTCTGGCATACAGACTAAAGCAAGAGAGTTACATATATCCATCCATAAGCCTGCTGCCTCTGCAAGAGGACAAAACTCAAAGGATTCTAGAAGGGCAACCTTAAGTCTGGCAGTTTATTTTCTTCTTGTCAATTAGCTGTTGCTGAAGTCTAGAGTTTATAATGAAACCCAGGCCTACTATGCAGTCCACTGTAAACAAGCGCTTGCTTTTGTGCTATCATGTTTTATGTGAGCAGACCCTTAGTAATTTGCTGTGTGGTGAGTCTGTTTGTTTATGTATGCACATATGTGCTCTGCAGCAGTGATAGTCACCTGGCCTGGCAGGGAAAAGCCCAAAACAAATCTTCCCTCATTTGCATCCTAAAGACATACAATATTTAAACAACTTTCAGATTTTGAGACCTTGATTTTTTTTCCCTCTAAAAGCAGTGTGGTTGCCAAATTGCTTAGTATAAGGACTTTAGCATTCACAATAGCCTCGAAGGATACAAACTTTGGGAGCTAAATGATAATTTAACTGGGAGATAGCTAGGGATACACATTTTAAAATCTAAATCCTCGCTGTCATTGAGATTTCTATCTTAAATTCATTAGCTTCTCTTTACCACAGTATGCCTGCTTCTTTTCTCTCAAAGCCACTTCCCCTCCCCCCCAAAAAAAAGTTAACTGTTTTTCTGGAATGGGTAGAGACTGAGGTTATTTTGTCATTCCTCAATAGTGCAGAAGGACTTTATGCTGCTTAGCTGGCATTCCCGGTGTTTTGATAAAAGTTACTTCTCTAAAATTTAACAACAACATGGGGAAAATAATGCTATCTCTTGTGTGAGTTGCAATTTTGAGAGATTTCATCGTGAGAAATGTCTGAGGAATTAGAAGTAGCTAAGAGTGAGGTAATAGGAACACAGTCGTTCAATCTGCTAGGAAAATAACAATTTTCCTAGCAGGGAGAGTTATTAGCTTTATAAATGATAGAACTTTCCTTGTTTATTCATTATTATTATTATTATTATTTTAAGGGAAGCTGTGAGGTTGAGGACATGGAATAACTATATTGTAAGCTGTAAAAGCTTAAAGCTGGTAGAAAGCCTTGTTCGGCTGTTTCATTTTTATCGGATAAAATACATTTGGTTTCTTTTTGACCAACCATGTTTTTGTAAGGAAAGGAAAATGAACACGTGCTGTTATTGGCCACAGCTACATAAGAAATCCTCATGTTGCCAGAGGTTACCACATGAAAGTGTCTGTGTTAGGGGAGGGACCGATAAGGGGGTGGGGATAAGGAGGATGGTGCCTTCAGCCTCTTAGGGTCAGAGCTGCAATTTGTGAACCAGCTGTGATGAAATCCAGCTCTGGGCAAATCAGATGAGCCTGTCAACTTCCCAGGTGGAAGTGCTTGTAGTTAACAGACTGAACTTGGAACTCCTCAAGCAGTACACTCAGTGGAGGCAGAGAAGGCACTGCAGAAGGCTTTCCAAGAATCTTCTAACATGGCAAGGAGAGGCTCTGTCCCATCTTACCAGGTAGGTGAAAGATGGGATGACAGGCGAATGCTTGCTTTTCAGAATTAGTTCCTTGTGAATTCGATTTTTTCTCTTAGCTTTTCAAATTAAGACAGCACCTTAGGATGCATTTTGGAAGTCATAGAATTTGGGGATGTTGAAGTCATTCAAATGGCCTTCGTGTAATTTCATTTTGTTCTAGCCTAGCTGTATTTGACAACTAAATCTCTTTATTCCTTTAGGTAATATTCCTGTTCACTTTTGCCATTGGTGTCAATATCTGCTTAGGATTCACAGCAAGTCGAATTAAGAGGGCAGACACATTGGATGAAAGCTCTTCTGCAGGTAAATGTAGCAACTGTTAGTGCTTTCAAGCCTTTAAAAATATTATATACTAGATAGTAACAAAAGCTCCTTAAGAAACTCATCTTTAAGATGACCTTGCAGGGTTCTTATTGTCTTTCTAGATTTTTCTGGGATGAAACCAACTCTGTCTATAATGCAGGTGAAATAATGAGGTTTTAATTGGAGAGCATTTATTTTTGCTTCATGATAACTTTAAATCTTTGTATCCCAAAATTTATAAATGTTGAGATGAAATTGACAAGATTGAGATTGACAAGGCTAACATAGATTTGGTGGGAACAGGTGTTGGTTAAATTGGAGATCCATGAATCTGATTTGTTGTCATGTGATATAGAATGTCATTTTTGCTATCAGAAAGTTCTGTCCCCAGAAAAAAGAAGAATGGAAGCAAAAAAGGAAGTGAATTGTCTTTACAAAAGTTCAGAAACTTAGAAATTTAGGACTTAACTAAGATTAGGGAAAACCTAAAAGAGAAGAGTTCTTAAAAGAGCTTATAGGATTGATTTACACTCATTGTACTTTCTTTTGGCAAAAGGAATACGTTTTAATAGTGTTCCCTGACTTAACTAACACAACCAAAGTGAAAGAGTTTCCTTTTACAATATGCTATGCCACGAGCACAGTGGGAATTCTTATAAAGGAGCTCCTTGTGCACATCGAGGGGGCTTAACTGAACAGGTCTTAAGCAATGAGTTGGTTAATTTCCTGGAAATTGGAGCTGCTGATGGTTTTAGAAATAAAAATTACATTGAAGTAACCGGTACTCTAGGGGGCAATATTTTCTTGACTTTCTCTCACATCCCAGCATGTTTGTCTGTCTTCCTCTGAATTCTATGTTTCTATATATTTCTTGATTGGACCACTATGAAAGACTATCACCTGTCTCTGTTTAGCCAGCATCAACTTTTATTATGAAATGAGTTATTGTATATACATTGATAGAATAGTAAATTTTCTTTACTATTTCTTTAACATCAAGAGAGTTACTTCTGAGTCATGCCAGAAGGTAGAAAGAATAATATTCAAAGTGGATGAATGAGTTGAAGTGGGGTGTGGTTTGAGTGAGGACTGAGAAAATAGATCTTAAAAATTGTGGCCCCAGGGAGCCAAATGGACAAAATGAGTTGTGTTCTGTTGGGGAGGGAGAAGAGGGGACCACTGGGCTAGGAGAGAATGCTGTTTTTATTGGTAGCAAATGCTGTCTTCAAAGCCCTCTTTTTCCACTCCTGTTAATGCTAACTTTGACTAACAGGGAATTGGGTCCTTAATATGGGCATGTGGGGTCAGCTAGCTACTTGACAGCCACCTGTGGGATCTTTCCAATGTACCCTTAAAAGAACTTTTCTCTGTTCATCTTAATATATTACTGTGCCTAAAACTGATATTGAGGGAATTAAATACTATTCTTATTTTCAGGGCCTCTTGCTTGCTAGACAAGTGCTCCACTCTACCACTTGAGCTATGTCCCCAGTCCATTAAATATTATTTTCTTAATGAATGCATAAAATCAAGACACCAATTATTTCCAAAGTTGGCTTTTTTTTTTTTTGGAAAACAGTCATGAGAGTCCTGGACTGGCATCCTGAATCCATGCAGCAGGTGGAGTGGTCTTGATCTCTATTTCTCTTCTCTTAGCTGACGATGAGGAGCAGTGTAAATTATTTTTTTAGTTTTCCTTCTGGATGAAAAAAAAAACCCCAAGTTCCTAATTGTATCCATTTTGTTTTACTTGTGTGTTCTCTACTGGAAAACTTGAAAAGTATATATTAGATTGATTATTCACTGACAACATTTTGTATGTAATACATTATTTCCATATGTTATAAGAAACAGCTATAGGAACTAAAAAGTCAATGTTACTTTTGGAAAAGCATTACAGTCTATTATAATCTGTAAATTAAATAGTCTTAAATGTATTACAAAATGTTTGCTTCTTGAATTGTTTAATAAAATTATCGATTATTTAGGCCTTTATGACATATACAAACATTCATTAATTAAACTTTTTACCTGTGTAAACTTAGTTTTAGGGTACAATATAATTCAAATCTGAGCTTTAGGATTTTGGCATGTTTGCATACCTTTTGGTCTTAATTTTTCTTTTGATGTAGCTTACCTGCTGTTTAGGCACTGTGATTGATTTCTCCTAAAAAAAGACCAAAGATGTATTTTGGAAACAAGGTGAAAGCATAGTGCAGAGAGGTTTTTTTAAAAATGCCTTTTAAAGTGCTGTATGAGTCTAGAAAGGACATTTCACTCAATAATGCATGTGATTGTTCTGTTAGCAAGGATTTTACATAAGAAAACATTGGTGAACTGTGATGTACGTATTAGAACAAGACGGCAGGAGGGAAAGTACCTGTGCCTATTTGCAACGAAGAACTCCTGTGAAGCTTCAAGGGGTTTTCAACAAACTAAAGGATCACAAAGGGTCATATATGGCCAGCTTTTGACTGGTTCAAGCAAGAGCCACCATCCAGGAGTGTGCACCTTTTTTTTTGTATCTGTAGCTTCTCACAGCTCCTCAACAATCACAGTGTCTGCACACAGGCGTCCCCTTGCTGCTGTACTATGGACTGAGGTGTTAGTTTCAAGGCTGTGGCAGTGCAAACAAACTCATAATTAATTAACTAGCACACTTGTTAGCTGGATTTATTGTTAGGACCTAGTGATCTATTGGAAGTAATGGTGGATTAAGTCTTCCATCAGATCATATATGATCTACAGATTTATTAGGAGGTATGAAATGAGCAAAGTGAATTTTAATTCTTTTGAGTCAATATAAGGGACACTAGTGAAATAAGACAGCAGAAATCAATTTTCAAAGGAAATGTAAGTAACCTGTTAGTTTGACATCTTTGTCTCAAGCATTGATGGAGTCACTTGATTTGCCTTTGAGACTGTGAAATAACTTATGTGCACACAGGTGTTCTTACACTTGTGTGTGTGTGTGTGTGTGTGCACATTTGTGGTACTGTAGGGGTGTCTACTTTATAGAAGCTCATGACTTAGATATACATTCAGTCCCCAGGTAGAAATAGAATATTCTCTCTGAAATATAAGCAATTTAATACTTGAATGACAAAGGGACATTTGTGAGCCTGTGAATACTTGACTAGTAGAAACCTGATAGCACAGTCCAACTTACCATCATTATTAGTGACTTGAAAAGAAAATTTAAAAATGCATGAATGGAATTTGTGTGTAAATATGAAATGAAAGTGTCACTAAAATTTTTATGAGAAAACAGAAAATGGTACTAGGAATGAGAAATTTGATTTGATAATTCCTCATTTGTTCATTTGATAATTTTAGGAATCTCCCTCTTTAAAAGTATCTAAATGGTGGCGTAGAAGAATGTAGGAGAAGAGAGTAGGAGAAGTGAGGAAAATGATCTACTGAGGTATACCATAGAATGTAATTTTATTTAAATTTAATATAGAAATTGAGGAATTTAAGTCAATGGGATGGATTTAGCTGAGTCAGAATCTAAGGAGGAAATAGATTTTTCAGTTCTTTGTTAAATAGGGCTTTTGGTAATGATTTTCCATTTATCTTAATATTGTGGGGAGTCCTTACTTATATACCCAGAAATCTCATTGGTCAATAGAGTTCAATATATATTTTTAAAGCAATAAAAATCAATAAATCTTTCAAAGTTACATTTGGAAAAAAAAAAGCCAAAAACTTCTAAAGTATGGAGCCTATGGACAAAACTTGAAAAATCCTTGGTTAGTAAAAGCTAGGTGTGGTGTGGTGGTACACGCCTATAATCCCAGCACTTGGAAGGAGAAGATAGGAAGATGACAAGTTTGAGGCCAGCCTGGGCTACATAAACAAAAACAAACCAAAAACAAATAAAAATACTTGGCTAGTAAAAAAAAATTGCAGCTGTGCTAAGATGATCTAGAATGTTGAGCTAGCCTTTGCTAGCTCAGATGAAATCTCCAGACCTAATTTTCCAACCAGGAATGTGGGAATAAGGTCTCTGTTGCTCTAAAAAGGTTTTTGAGAACAAAATGCCATATGAAGACTGATGAGCACAATAGAGGGAAATATGTGATGATGAATCTGTTTCATCTTCAATTATAAGGACAGTATCTATATTTATACCTTATTGAGTTTAAATGCCTGTGATTTAAAGTGACAATGCTGCATTGTATGCTAGCAGATTTGCAGATTATTCAGATTTATGCTGTTAACTGCTACTTGGATGGTTTTGAGATTGAATGAATGTTTTTAACTTTTAAATTACATAGAAATCTATTTTCTGATAGTTTGTGAGGGCTTTCCACATGAAGATACTGTGTTTATAAATGCTTTGAAAGTATAGCTGTTCGAAAACTTTCCAGGTGGACCTGTTTATATTTTTGAAAAGAGGCTCTGAAATCTGGCCCGCAGCTAGGAAGAGAATAGTGATGGCCCCATTGGTGCTTCTAGAAAGTGATGCACTCTGGAAGCAGAGACTTTGACATGCCAGCCTGGTTGTAAGTTCTGCTTGCTCAGGGATGAGGCCAGAAGCATCCAGATGAAGGGTGACTTTAATACAAGCAAGTACAACCAGAAAGAATGGATCATAAACTCCAGGAGAGTCGTATGACAGTGTTAAATTCTCCAGCTGAGAGAGTAACATCTTGAACATCATCCACACTGTCCCTGGGCTTTCTCTGAGGGTTATGCTTCAAAGGGCAGCAGATAGAGAGGTAACCACAGTCTGTCCCCCATTTCAAGGCTTTACTTTCTTTTAGGAAACACCTGGGCTGAGAAACAAGGAGAAGCAAGGGATAGATAGGGAACGGTGTCCCAAACCCTGCAAACAGGACCAGTCTGTGAGAAGAAACAAAAGATCTTCCAGTTTTACGCTGAGTTAAATGTTTTCAAATTTAAACACTATCTCCCTTATTGGCCATCATCTAGATTTGAAATTTTCCACTTTGTGGGAGGGTTTAGAGGGGAAAATGGGAGCTCAGAATGAAGTTATGTTTTGGTCACAATTTTTGTCATCAGTTAGGCTCTTCCCAATAGTCTGATTAAATTATCAATAGTTTTTCTGTATATCCATGGAATATAGGATACTAGAATGCTATAGACCTGCCTCTGTATATAGACAGTAAGATGAAATATTCTAGAAAAGGGATTTTTACCTAATTATGTGAGGATAATTTCATCTGTTTCTATCCAAATCTCAAATTTGATGAAATAAATTATGATTTATATTGATGTCTCTTTAAATCACGAAATTATACTTCAGTGAAAAATAGGAAACACATAGCATTCTTGCTACTACATATCCTATGTCCCACTTTTAAAGTGCATTTATAAAAACTTGCAACATTTATTTTTAAGATTCTATATTGTGAAACCACCTCAGGTAATTATGCAATTTAAAAGACGGCAATATAATTTGAATCACATAAAAATATTGGCAAATGTTTCATATGAAATTCCAAGCCTCCATCATACTTATTTTGTATTTCTGACCTGATACTTGAGAGTACTTTCTTTGTTTTTTAGTTTTTGTCTTCCATATTAGTTCAGAGTTTTTACAGATAATTAGCAATGATAAAAATCTTGGGATGCCAAAAGTTCATTGATTCTTCCATTTTTACCTCCCTCAGTGGCTCATAGAACCTAAGCGTTCATGTCAGTGTTCTCTAGAGTTAGGTCAAGTAGAGGAAGGCTTAGATTTTAAAACTCAGTCACATCACCAAGGACTCTTTCCTACTTGGCAGTAGATCAGGTACAATAAAAAAGAGAATTCCTAAAAATCTGCCCTTGAGCTAGGTTTGAGGAGAAGGACATGGATCTTGGGCAAGGGATAAAAAAGCTAGAACATGGAGGATGAATTGTAGAACTTTGAGGCAATGAATAGGACAGAGCTTGTCATGAACGCAGGTGGTCGGGATGGAATAGGTCTCTGAAAAGGTAAAGTGGATATTGTGTTCCATCACTCTTATTTAAAAGGGAATGGCAGTTCAAATTTCATGAGGTTATCAGATTAGAAGAGGTTGTGTAAGGCTCAAACTATCTTTCCATTTTTCTTCCTGTCATTCTTAGTTTAATTCAAGTCTGTTTAGAATGAATTTTGGCAGGATATCCACTATCCACATAGGCTTAGGAATTTATTCCTATCTGAACCTGTTGATAACCCATTCTTGAGTACAGTATTTTTTAAGGCATGTATCTTTGCATTATGAGTGTACATGCAGCTCCAACAAAGCTGTCCTCAGTCTAATGCTTGGCAAGAAGGGCCACAACTGAGAAGAGTAAACTGTTGAGTGAGATTTGATTATTTTCAAAAGCAAAGCCAGAGACAAACTGAGAGAATGATTCATGTTGTAAGACAATAATAAAAAACACTTAACAGAATGAATGACAAAAGATCACAAAATGGCTCAGAATTCATACAGATTATTTTGAAAGTAAAGAAAGAAACAGGGGAGAGATTATGATGAGGGGAAAACAAAGGGCACAGATGCGGGAATTTTTCACATGCTTGCTGGGACCCTGTAAAAAAGGCAAGGCAGGCCGGGCACCAGGGGAGTCACACCTGTAATTCTAGCTACTTGGGAGGCTGAGATTGAAGGATGGTGGTTCGAGACCAGCCAGGACAAAAAGTTCATGAGATCCCATGTGGTGACATGCACCTGTCATCCCAGTTATTGCAGGCAGCATAAATAGGAGGATTGCCATTCAGGCCAGCCCAGGCTAAAAGAGAGACCCTATCTCCAAAATAACCAGAGCAAAACAGCTGGAGGTATGCCTCAAGTGGTAGAGGACTGCCTAGCAAGATAACAGTGTTGAGTTCAAACCCCAATACTAAAAAAAAGAAAGAAAAAAGAGATAATGCAAGGCAAGGAAATGTGTTTAGATTTCCTCTCACTATCTCAGCTTTTATCAGAGCTGAGCATGTCTATGTGTACAGCCTATGAGAGTGAAAACTACTCAGAATTTATTAGATACCTGTTAGAAATATTCCATTTATGAACTAGTCTTGAAAAAGGAGAAAAAGGAATATTTAATTATAATTTTTTCCTTATCTTTGTTTTTACCATAGTGCTTTCTCTATTTTTCCCTTTCTCCTTCTGCCTGCCATAGTTTGGTTCAGCATGCACTGTTGACAGGCTGACCAAAAGTCAATAGAAAAATGTGGCTTACAGACTAGAGGTAAGGCACTGGGTTGGAGACTCATATTATTTCCTAAAATAAGCTGATGTGGTTTGTAGGAGCTTCAGCATCCCAGAAGAAACTGTGCAAAGCATTTCACATCTCATGGTCTAGTGAATCTCTTTGCTTTAGTTCAACTGATCTCATGCCACAAAGGCTAGGACTGGGTGACTATGAAGAGGACAAAGGACTAAGGGGTGAACAAGATGCTCAAGTAAGTGATGTGAGTGGACCTAGACATGTCATTTAACATCTGTTCTCCCACTTCTCATTTTCTCTTGATTTAAAAAGTAATATATGTGAATTACAAAAAAAAAGAAGTATTCATAAAAATGAAAATTACAAATAGCACACTATAAATCACATCTGTTAAGATATTCCTATATAATAGACAGCATGTGATTTATATTTTATATGCCTATGCACTTATATACATATATGAAAAAGGGAAGGAAATAAGCAAGCAAGCAAATAAAAAGACTAGACAACTACCTGTGAATTTGTGAAATGTCAGAAATTTCAAACTGTAGAAAATGCAAAAAGTCTCTTTCCCAATCATTTTCCCCAAATGCATTTCCTGTAAACTATTTCCAACTTTATGTACATCTGAACATTTTCCTGATCCCTCTGAGGGAAATCTAGCATTGGCTCTCTAGCTTTGGTTCTGTTCTTATTCCTATCTTTTATCTCTACCCTCTTGCACTTTTCTCTCCTCTTAACATAAAAACTAATATGTATCATTTAATACTATAACTCTCTTATGTACTTTGTTCTTGAAAACACTTCTTCATATATTTAGATCTTTCTATATTAGCCTATACAGATGTGGCTCATTTTGAAGTGGTGAGCAGTATTCCACTTCCAGACATAGTGATTTTGTCTTCCTTGATGGATGAAACACCTTTGGTTGACTTCATGGTTTCCCCTCTCCCACATTACAAAAACATTACAATGAGTAATGGGCATTTTTTGGACATATATTGTGATGAACTTTTCAAATATATATGTGAGGTGAATTCTTGGTAATGGAACTTCTGGAAGAATGAGTCAGAGGCATCTTAAAATGCTGATAGCTATTTCTAAATTGCACTATATTTTTATAGAAATTTTCATTGCTTGAAACAGATATGGCCTTCTTCATATTCTTTATCCACTAGAAATCGATTATTTTATAGACTGGGAAGAAAATCCAGATTAGTTTTTTCTAATTACCACTTACTGACTGATCCATCTATCTGCCTCTGTTTTGAAATGATATTCTTATAATAAAATAAATTCTCACTTATTCAGCCTAGTTCTGTGTCCCATGTACATTGATATATTCTTCTAATATCAAGATGTTTTAATTACTGAAGTTCAGAATATTCTATTCTATCTAGTGACCAAGTTACTTCAGTGTTTTTCGATTTTTATAAAAACCTTTTCTATCCTCTTAAATTTCAAGAACTTTTGATGTTTTTATTTTGATTGCATTGAATCTTTACATATATTAAGAATTAATTCATATTTTTATAATACTGATCTTTTAACTTCTTAAATAGTATGTCTTCCAATTCAAGTAGGTCTTTGAAATTGTGTGTGTGTTTTTTTTAGAGTTTTAATGTTTTTCATGTAGGTTCTAGCCATATATTCTTAAATTATATTTAGATATTTTACTTTTTAGGTACTATTATGAATGGAACTCCCATTTAATTTTTAAACTTGTATTACCCGTAGGTAACAAATTTGTGGAATTTTCATCTCACTGAATTCTTTACTCTGACAAATTTTGGTGGATTCTTGAGACTACTAGATACATGCTAATACCACATGAAAATAATAATAGAGGATCTGATTTTGCCAAGCTGAGATTCTGGAGTTTGTATAGTGCTATCTGTAGTCTAGGTTTTATGTTTAGAAGAACTCATAAAAGACTTCGGTTCCAATCCTATATATTTAGAGTTGATTCAGAACACTTGTATTCAATTTTTCTTATGAAAAGATACAATTTTTTAAAACAGGGAAACCAACTTACTTCTATAGTGGCACTTACCATCACAGATAGCAATGGAAACCAACATTTGTTTTCTTTCTCTATGTTTGCTAACCTGTTAAGTGTTTCACATGAGTTGTTTCATTAACTTTTCAACCTAAAACTACTTTTATGAATCTCCCCACCTCAGCGTACCCTGGATACAGGGAGCCCAGGGAGCAGTGATGGAGCCAGATTTTTCATCTAGATCTGATTACAGCTCCCATGTGCATCTCCATGTGACATGATCCTCTCCCTAAGCCACTGCCTTTACTCCGTTCCTTGCAGTGTTATCAGACTCCCCCTGGACCAACACCTCTGGATCTTGCAAAGGCAGATGCTTTGAACTTCAAGAGGCTGGCCCTCCTGACTGTCGCTGTGACAACCTGTGTAAGAGCTATAGCAGTTGTTGCCATGACTTTGATGAACTCTGTTTGAAGACAGGTATGTAACTCTTGATCCCTCTCTAGCATCTCTGAGATGGCATAGAGGCTCCCTACCCTCACACCCTGGATCTGTCCCCCTGTTTTGGCTTATCCAAACTGAATTTTACTTTTGTTTTTTGAATGATTGTTGATGATTGCTTGAATGATCTATGATGAACACATCTTTGTTCATCATACTTGGCACAGCCAGAGAAGGCTTTTTCCAGCTTCAGACATTATATGCTGATTTTGAAAGTATTTGTGGCTAGGCTTTTGTTCATCTTCACTATTTCTGTGTCTTTCTGTCAAGTCTCACATTCACTGTTAGGGCCTGTGAGCTAATACTGTGCACATTCTTAAAGTGCTGGGTTTAAAAAAATCTCTTATGTAGAAATGGAATATTTTTATGTAATTTTATTTGGGATTGTGTGCTCTGGGTGTCTCCAAAATCTTCCTCTAAAGTGTTCCTGGTTTTTACACATTTATTCTGCAGTAGAACAGTTATTAGAACATAGGAGCTGTTGAATGAATGCACACAAATTGAAAAAAAGCACGGTCGGGGGCTTTTGCCATCTCATTTGCTCTGTTTTCAAAGCCAAACATTTCAGATCTGACTTCTGCAGCTAACCACCATGACTCTGAGGAAAGCCCCACATGTTATCTAAGAAGTGCAATAACCAACCCTGTTCTCAACATCTTCAGAAGCACATTGCATAGCTTCTTTGACAAGTTATTACTTACTTTTGTACAGATGATTCTTTTAAAAACCTACCGTATATTATTGTCTGATCTTTTAAAAAATGATATCGTAGACATGGAGGCAGTATTTTCTTTATTTAAGTAAAGAGATTTCATGATTTATGTTAAAAACAACATCAACTCCATTACTAATCTGATTTGTTCCCCCACTTCTTGCAAAATAAAAAGAGCTTCATTAGGCTATTTTTTAAAAAAACATAACACATTTTCCAAACATTTAGTCACTTTTTTTGTCGTTGCTTTCCTTTAAACTTTTGCCAGGCCTTTAGTTGTAGGATCTACAAATTTATGCAATGAATCCAATGTAGACCAAGTGTATGGATGCAACACTATTTCAGCCAAGTTCTTTGGCTCTAACACATTATTTCAAACCAGCAGTCTGTGTTTGCACAGCACTGAGGATTTTACTGGTGCTTTGTTTCCTCTATACTCTGAGTATCTTGTCCCTGACAAGTTATGTCAACTTTCCTAGTCCTGGTCTTAAAATCTTGCAAAGTTTAATGCGTCTCTGGATTCTAGCTTAGCTTTCTCTCTCTGAATGTAGCACATGCCTTTCTTCCCAGGTTTAATAGACTATAATAACATTTTATAAAACAGTTTATTCTCCTGTGTACAAAGACAACGTATACTGAATGTGGAAGAATCAAATGTCAAATAACAATGAAAAGTTGAAGGAGGGGAGAAAAGTCTTTGAGGTTCTGCTATGCTGATGCAAGTATTCTGGAAATGAGCACAAGGTTTCAGTATAAACTCTGATCCCAATGGCTGTGTGTATACGTGGGGTACATATGGATTATATATATACACACATATATATATTTATACAAGTGTATATATATGGATATGTGTAGCAATATCTGTGTCTGTAGACCTTTATACATATCTTCCTTTTAAATGTCTCCATTATATTCCATCAAAAAGTTGAAACCTAATTTATTGAGTAATTAACTAACATTTATATTTCTTCCAGTTTTGCTACTATGAATAATGTATTAATAAATACTGCACATGTGCATGCATTGTTTGTTCTATTTTCATTAAAATAAATTCCTAGCAGTGGGATGTCTATGTCAAAGTGTATTTGCATTTAAAAATTTAAATGTAAATAATGAAAGTATACTTTTTATTTATTTATTTATTCATTTATTCATATGTGCATACATTGTTTGGGCCATTTCTCCTTCCTGCCCTCAGCCCCCTTTCTCCCCTCCCACCCCATGCTTAGAAATTATACTTCTGAAAACACAAATTTCTATCAAAGGGTTCAAGGGCTTTTACCATTTCTTTTCAGTACTGGATAGTCTCATTTAAAATATTTTTCTCTGCTGTGATAGATAATCTTATTTTCTGGTAAGGCTAAATATATTTAAAATTTTATATTTATTTATTTTTCACTTTAAAAATTTTATATTTGTTTCAATATATTAAATTTTTTTATTCCCATGTTTAATTTGAAAATGACACAGTTATTACTGTCTCACGCTTTGCTTGTGTTCATTTTAAACCTTGAATTTCTTTTTTATTCCATTCTTACACAGAGGTGGTAGTCCAGTCTCAATCAATGTAGCCTGTTAATAATGGTGGAGTCTTTTATAAATAAAGGGACTTTTTGTGGAACAAGGTCAGGGTGGGGGAGCAAAAGTATATCAGTGGGAAGAATCACAACCCTGTGATCTCTATCAGTCAAAGCATCCTTAGAAGATTGCTAACCATTGGTAAAAACAGGTCACAGGTAAAGGAATTCCAAACTCTTAATCTGCTTGGGAAGAGACATTAGTGGAAATAGGTTATAAAAAAAAATTCGGCTCTACAGACACTTAAACAATGAAGGACACAAATGTAAAACAGGTCATGTTAAGGGGAGGGCACTAGTGGGAAGGTAAAGGGGGTGACTATGGTTGTTATATTTTATATACATGTATGAATTTGGAACATTGAAGCCTGTCCAAGTCATTTTAGGAAGAGGAAGGGGGGAAGAGGGAAAATAATGGAGGAGATGAACCAAACCCGGATATATTATATGTATATATGGAAATGTCATAATGAAGCCCCTGTACAACTATTATGTACTAATAAAAATGTTAAAAATCAGCTCTAAAATGGAAATTAAATAGTAGTTGTATGGTTTTCTGGCTAATGACCTGTCCAAAGAGGTAGGGGAAGCACTTATGCATGGCCACCGTTACTCTTTATCTGTTTAGTCACCTATCAATAGTTGCTCTTGTAGAATATTATTAAGGAACAGCATTGCTTTAAAAAAAATCAATGCTTTATAATTAGGACACATTTTAAATGATGAAGACCTGAAGTGACCATGTGTACATTATCTCAGAGAAGACTTTCCAGTAGCCCTATCCCACCCCGCCACTCTGTCAATGCCTGCTGTTATTTCCTCCACAACACGTCACACAGCTGAAGTGACCTTGTTTATTGGTTTACTTGCATAAGGATTGCCTTTTCCACTTAGAGTGTAAGCTCCCTGAGGACAGGACCCTTGTCTATTGTTTTTCAGTATGTCCCTAGCATCTAGAATATGGAAAATATGGGATAAAGATTTACTGAATACATGAATTAACCATGGACGTTTTCAAGGTAGCAGTCCTAAACTTCAAGAGTCATAGTATATTTTCATGGTCATTTCCAATGAGACTTAATAAATAATAAAAACCTAGCTGTGCCAGGCACACAGTTTGAAATAGGAAATATAGTAGAAAGAAGAGAGATGTGATTTTTTTTTCCCACTGTATTTCAGTCTATTGGATAGAATTTAAGCAAATGAACAAAAAATATAGCACCCTCATTAAGAAGAAAAGGCTAATTTTCAACTCTTGGAAGGAGTTGAAAATTCCTATAGGAGACTCCTATAGATAGGAGTCTATAACCCATCTACTGACCTCCATAGAAATAAGGACCTTTATTGTAGCTGTAGAGAGTATCCTTACAAAAAAAATGATAGATACCTACATCACAGACCTCAGATACCATACATATTGTTGGGTCTTTTAGAACAATTCTGGAATTGTAGAGATATTTTGCTTGCCTTTCTGGACTCTATTTTTCCAAAAGAGCTCAGTTGTACTTTGACTATGCCCTCTGATTTGAAAAACCAGAAATTCACCTATCTGTAAGTTCTCCAGGTATCTTCTAGGCCTCTGGCTGACTCAAATTTCACAAGGAGATTAAATGACATGGGATTTAGCTGTTTTTGTTGGAGATTCTTATAAGCAGTTGTGGCCTCTTTCATTTGGTTTGTGTGCAGCAGGGAAAGTGTTTTATTGTGATGATTTCAGCTCGTGGCTGGGAGTGTATGAAGGACAGATGTGGAGAAGTACGAAATGAGGAAAATGCCTGTCACTGCTCTGAGGACTGCTTGGCCAGGGGAGACTGCTGTACCAATTATCAAATGATCTGCAAAGGTACACGTTTTTAGATTATTTTGAGATTTTACAGAATAAAAAGTGGAGATTCTCCAAGAGATCCTAGGTGCTATGGGTATAACACTTTGGACATGGGTTTTGGAGGAAGGAAGGAGTTGTACTTGTAATTGTGTCCTTTCTTAGTTTTGTTACCTCACATTTCACAGATCTGAACTAACAGAGATAAAGCAACATTGCAAAATTAGATAGAACCCTAAAGTGAAGAGATTTCTCAACTTTCTGTCTTTCCTTGAGGTCAGGTTTTTTAGAAGCAGAGGCAAAGCAGGAATTTGGTACATGGAATTTACTGAGGGAATGCTTTGTAGGAAAACCATGTGAACAGGGGAAATAGGATGAGAAAGTGGGTTTTGGGGAGTTGTAAGCAAAGATGTGGTCTCAGGTAAAATCTCACCTTAGCCTGCTCTACTGATGGCTCTGAAAAGTAAATACCAGAGTTGCTGCTCTGGAGACAACTGGTTAAGGCTTCGGTACTTAGTGGGTGTAAGTGGTTCACCCAGGGGTTGGCGATGGCCTAGGGATGGGGATGCCTGTTGGCAAAGATGATAAGGCACCAACAGCTCCTATTATTCATGTATGTCATTGATTTTGTATGGTTGATAGTTGAATACTGGATTTTTATTTTAATAGCAATCAATAAACTACAGCAATATAAAAGATATGGCTCCTGTCTTTAAGGAGTTTAAGGTCTCATATTAATCACTTATAGATGTTACTAGATATACCCATGAATCTTTATAGCTTGTAAGCCACTTCTTAGTTTCTAGTTAAATCTTTTTTCTTATCACTGACATGAAATATGTAAGAAGAGTTTCTGTTAAACGATTTTAGGGAAGGGCTGAGGATACAGTTCAGTGGTAGAGTGCTTATCTAGCATGTGCAAGGCCCTGGGTTCCATGCCCAGCCCTGCAAACCAAACCAAACCAACAAAACGCCCAAGATTTCAGGGATAAAGTAAGTCATGTGGAATATATGAGGTGTTCAGTTGTGTCAAACAGGTATTATGTTAATGAATTTGTAAAATTTCCCCTATCTAACTAATTATTGTGTTGTAAATTTCCCCTACTCTATTCTGTTTTTATTTTTAGAATAAAATTAATAAGAATTTCCTTTTAAAGTTTCCTATGCAGTAAGCATACCATTAAGCATAGAGGCTATGAAAAGAAAAAAATAAGGAGAAAGAAGACAAGTCTTAGGTATCACTGGTCATTGAATCACTAAACACTAAAGCAGCTTTGTTGGTTTCATGTTTTACTTCCAGAACTTTTGTGAGACCCACTTGGCTATTCTGGGTTACTACATGTTTGGTAAAACATCCCTGTTTTAACAGGAAGCTTACCTTGTTGCCCAATAGTTTGACTCTTGTTCACCATGCTCTATACATGAATCTGGGTACTTTACAAAAAATGAGGTTTGTTTGGTTCATAGTTTTAGAAGATCAGGTGGCCCATCTGTTTGTCCTCTGGTGAGGGCTTTCTAGCTATATCACAACATGGCAGATCACATCACAATGATGGGAGCATGTGTAGAGAGGGATTCAGGGGAGCTACAGGCTCCCTGACAACAACCCATTCTTGTGGGCACTAATTCAGTCCTATGAGACCTGCATTCATCTCTTCTGAGGTCAGTGCTTTCATGGCCCAATTGTTTCTTCCAGGCTGCACCTCCTAGAGGTTCCACAACCTCAGTACCTCCACGCCAGACACCAAGCTTCTACCCTGTGAACATCTGGGAAACAAACCATGGCAGAAATACACTTTTTCCCCTTAAATCTGAGCCCTTTTCTGTTCTCTGTTCTTCATAGGGATATCTCAGGAAAGATGTAGGCTTATGCTGTCAGATCTTGGTATAAGATAAGAGTGAAAGCATCAGTTTTTTTCATTTATAAATTCAAGGCTATAGACAGATCCATTGACAAATAATCTCTATTGCAATTTTCCATCTCTTGTCTCGTCCCTGTATATTATAAGCTTTTCTCCCCATCTAAAGGGAAGTTGTGTCATGTTCTCTATGGCTTTGAGATCCTCAGTGGCAGAGAAAAGAATGTTCCATCTAATGACCAAACAGTTTATTTCTGGAGGGACACAAACATGAAATTTTGTTCACTGACGCCACTGGTTTTTTTAATCTACAAACCATTTAGACTCTGAAGGCTCGAATAAACACCACATGAGGTTATTAAGTCTTAGCTTTCCCACCATGTACGGGTGTACTTTGAAAGCCAAACCAGACATTGGACTTTATTTCAGAAATCCTTTTTAGCTGGTGCCCCATAAACAAGTATCAAACAGGACACAGATCCTGAACTTGTGTGCGTCCAGGCTCTGGGAGACATTTTTAATTAAATTTCACAACCAGTGTCCCCACTTTTCCTTGTAGGAGAATCACATTGGGTAGATGATGACTGTGAAGAGATAAAGGTCCCTGAATGCCCAGCAGGGTAAGCATGCTCAATAAATATTATGAAATTTTACATACCAGTTGATAAATTGTCACAGAGGATGGATGCACCAATGGTTATAAACAATGTACAACTCAAATTCTGTTCTACAAACTTGTTAGTACTCACAGATAATTTACCAGTCAAAAACAATCTTGAAGTGTCGATATATATATTTTTTCTTTTCAACTTTCTCATATCACTGGTATTGGAGTCTGAATATCCACTTTGCCCTAGATGAGGATTTTAGAAAGTGCATCTAATGATAGAGATATTTCTGGCAGTGATTTATTTTGCAGTATTTCCCACTGGAGTTCTGTTTTCACTCATTTTGGGGAGTGGGGAGGGAAATGGAAGATACTGCAGAAACCTATGGTCCACTAAAGCCCTACCTTGCTGGGGGACAGCCACACAGAGTGATACTCTCCAGCTCGAGTGTAGCTGGCATCAGGTACTTACGGTGCCTTCCAGGAAAGTGCTGAGACTTCATGGACCTTTAAAATGTTTGGCAGGAAATAAAATTTTCAACAAATGTGTTTGGTCTTTAAAGATATTTTTGTTTTAGGCAGCTGAACCTGGGACATACTGTTTTTTCTTTTGATGGTACCAGAGTTTGAACTCAGGGTCTTGGGCTTACTGGGTAGGCACTCTACCTCTTGAGCCACTCTGCCAGCCTTTTTGCATTAGTTATTTTTGAAATAGGATCTCTCTTTATGCATTGGCTGGCCTGGACTGCAACCCTCAATGTTGTGCTTCCCCATGTCGTTGAAATGACTGACACATGGCACCCAGTCATTTTTTGAAATGGGTTTTCATGAACTTTTGGCCTGCCCTGGACTCGCCTCGAACTGTGATATTCTTAATCTCTGCCTCCTGAGTAGCTAGGATTACAGGTGTGGCCACAGGGCTCAGGTTGGGACACAAAATTTAAGTGTTTAGATAATGATAATAGCAACCCCTTCTGTAGCATGTTCTGAGTGCTTTATATGTCACACATTATCGATTGCTTGGCTTCAAATAAACACAAACCTATACTTGCTTAATTAGATTCAAACTGCTAGAGATAATTCTGCAAGTTTTAGTATTCTCGAGTCTGATGAATCAACTGCATCTGTAGAATATAAGAAGGGCCCTGGTAGATGAATGGTTTAGGCCTTTGTCAATTTTTTTTTTTTTTAGAGATTGTCATAATTTAAAATTATTTTTTCTGGGTGCTGGTGGCTCGCGCCTGTAATCCTAGCTATTCAGGAGGCAGAGATCAAGAGGATTACAGTTTAAAACCAGCCCAGGCAAATAGTTCATGAGACCCTATCTTGAAAAAAAACCCTTCACATAAAAGAGCTGGTGGAGTGGCTTAAGGTGTAGGCTCTGAGTTCAAACCCCAGTACCACAAAAAATTATTTTGCAATTAAATGTAAAGGACTATTTTATAAGTGCTTAAAGCGCTACTGCTATTAGTGTCATATTCATTCATTCATGTGTACTAATAAATGTTTATTGAAGTCTTACCCTGAGTCCACAAAATAGCAAGATGAATAAGACACAAAGTGGGTTTGGCATTAGGAAGGAAGGAAACATTAACAGATCCTTGCAATTGATGTATAATGACGTATATATAAATGATGAAAGGGTATAAGTTAATACATTAAGGGAACTCAGAGGTATGAACCACTAGATTATAGAAAAGGAAACTTTGGGAGCTGGATTTTAAAGAATGAACAGTTTTTCAAGTGGCAAATGAGAGAATGTATATTTCAGGCATATATATATATATATATATATATATATATATAATAGTATGTAATAGCTGTATTTGTACAGTCAGAGGCTACCCTGGAGGGAGTACATTAAGGGGAATCTGGAGTCAAGTCCATGTGGCCATTTGTGACTGGTCACTTAGCTCTGAACTTTAGTTGCCTCAAATGTTCTGTGGCTGGAAGCATAGGCTTGTTTAGCCATCTTCCCTGAAAGATTCTCCCTGGAAATTATTGACCCAGTTATTGAGAATGACCTGACACAGTGGAAACTGTGGCAATAACTTTTCTGAGGCTTACGTGCTCTGCTTCAGGTTTGCGCGCCCTCCGTTAATCATCTTCTCCGTGGATGGGTTCCGTGCCTCATACATGAAGAAAAGCGGCAAGGTCATGCCTAACATCGAAAAGCTTCGTAAGTAACTTCTCTACTCCACGTCCTCATCTGAAATCCAGGGGCGTCCCAGTGTCTTTGCTTTCGAGCCACTGTTTTCAATGGATTTCATTATGAGAAATACAAAAATGAGTTACGTGTCTTTGATTGTTTCTAAAATGGATTTTAGATGAAGCGATTCCTATTGGTTTTCTTATCCTAATAGCTAACATTCTACTTCCAGGGTCCTGTGGCACACATTCTCCCTACATGAGGCCCGTGTACCCCACAAAAACCTTCCCTAACTTATACACTTTGGCCACCGTAAGTGTTTTTTTCTCAAATGATACATAGTCAAAAGTTTGATTTAGTCCTGGAATGACTTGGAAGGGGAGCTTTTAAAAAAATATGCTCAAAGAATATCTTTCTGCATTCCTGCTTATCTGTGCCAATTGTTCACAGCAAATGCTTTTTACGACTTTGTGGGTGACTGAACTGCATTACAATGTCAAAACTAAAGCCTTTTGAGGTGCCAGGTGTCTGCTTGGCCACATGTTAAACTTTTCTCAAATACCCAATAGTCTGTCATTTATTTTCTGAACTTGCAACTAAGAACATAGTTTTTGGGCTGTTACGTTTTAATTTTCAGGTACTCCAAATTTTTCCTTACTTTTTTCTTTAAAATACAATTTACTTATTAATTTTTGTTTGGGTAAGTTTTTGCTGTGTAATTAGCTGTGATTCATGTTTGCTCAGGCAGACACACAATAAAGGCTTTGTCATAGATGATTTTGGAAATTGAATATTATTATAAAATCTGTGATAAGAAAATTTGTAACAGAACTCATATAGGTAGACTACTGTATTGTTTCAGTAATAAACTTGGTTTTCTACAAAGGGTCTGTATCCAGAATCCCACGGAATTGTAGGCAATTCAATGTACGATCCTGTATTTGATGCTACTTTCCATCTTCGAGGGCGAGAGAAATTTAATCATAGATGGTGGGGAGGTCAACCGGTAAGTTTTGCATTTTGTGTGGCTGAGTGTGTTTGTGCATTAAAGCATTGGGTCCCTAAATTTGTTACCAGAGAAAAAGATATATATATATATATATATATATAAAATTTCCTCATACTTGGCAATGTTTCTGTCTTTGAGGTTTTATACACACACACATATGCAAACGTATATAAAGTATATGTCCATATGAATATATATATTTCTGTATGTCTATAGATAATATATTTATATTGTATATACTTGTGTGGACATATACATGTATATACATACACGTGTGTGTCTATGCACATATTTGTGTGTCTGTGAAGTTATGCTTATGAAAGTGTGAGAAGATGTTTTTCACTAGGATGATGGATGTGGACACGGTGCTGTGGGTTAAATTTCAGAAGCATTTTGAAGAAGGAATACATAGAATTTTATTGATCTATCAGATTTGGGGATATGATGAAAAAGAAAAATGACTGATTATGACTTCTCTGATATTTTGGCCCAGGGCCATAAATAAACAGAAGTGGGATAACTTGTTGGAAAAAAAAAGGAACTCACTGCAACCCACAGTAAATCCGTGAATTCTTTTATTCCATAATTTCATAATCCATGAATTATTTTATGATTTTTGAAAATCATAAAAGTTAAATAGAAGTAGAATCCTACCTTAATACTGAAGATAGCAAATGAATACTTTGAAAGAAATCCTTCTGTACTTCAGATCAAATGGCTGGGCAGAACACTGTTAAGGGTTGTAGGAGGCTTTTGACTAGTGGTTTTTTCCTGTAGCAGTGTATGGTTAGGCGACTAGCTTTGGTCAGACATGAACAAAGCAATGACATAATGCAGTGTGGATTCTGACTGTGCAGAACTGGGCTCAAGTGCACAAGCTCCAGGCCAGAAGGGTGAGAATCACGGCTGGAGCATACTCCGTTGCACACAGTCAACCAGACTTGTAGGAAGTGAATGAGAAATGGCTCCATCTCATGCAAGCTCTGATGGAGGTCATGGCTCCCTGGAGCTCTGTTCAGGGAAGGTGGCTAGGAGACCTCTGTCTGCTAAGGTGGGAGAGGTGGGCATCTGCACTCATCCCGTACATGATCTTGAACTTGGAAAGGCTTGCTCTAATGTGTGGACAGAATGGGGATTATAAATAGGAAACTCTTTTTGGGGATATCACCTTTTGAGAAAGGTCACTTGTATCAAAATGTTTATATTGCTTAATAGGTAAATCACTGTGCAAGGATAAATGTGAGTTTTTTTCATTTTTTAAAAAGAAACATTAAAGACATCCTGTGTGTCTGCAGAAAAGTCTCTTTACAATAGACTTTCTGATTTTGCTGTCTTTATTCAGGCCAGACTCCCAGAAGTCTATGATGACCTAGGTTGTGATCATAGTGAAATTTGTTGACAGGCTGGATTTCACCAAGTTTACGATAGAAAAATGTTTTATGAGTAACTAACACGACAGATACTTGAGTTCCACCAGGCCGTTGCCAGTTGGTCTTTGTGATAATTTTATCATGGAAGTCAACTTTCCTGAGTAACCACAAAGGATATAGAGATAAA